AACTAGAAAATAATCCAAAATATGGAAAGAACTATTGAATACTCCTGATGGTCCATCTTTATTTATAGGAGCAAAAGAACTAGAAGCAATGTAATATTTTCAAAATTAGGAAAATGGTTAGGTAGATTTTGGTAGATCCCTGGAGGGCACTGTGTAGGTGTTTTAAACACATTTGAAGAATTACACTGATCACATTTATTCATTACAACAATTCTAGGAGACAGGCATTTTCCTCATTTTACAGATGAGGACTTTGAGGTTTAGGGAGATTAAGCAACAAAGTTAATAAGTGGAAAAAAAGAAGTTAATAAGGGGAAAAGCCAGGATTCTAACCCGAGTCAGTCTAATTCTAAAATGCAAGTTCAACTATGTAAAAATACAGCCATTAGAAACAAACCCTACCCTTGTAAACCAAACACTGGTTCTTAAAGTTTGGAAATTGGAATTTCCCCCTTATATCCCTTTCTTTCATCTTTCTACTTTAATACTTACATAATGAAAATATGACATCATAAAATAAAAAGTGATTGTATATTTAAGCAACTGTGAAAGTTTCATGTGAGTCAACAGAGTAGCAAGGAGGGTAGAAAATGGAAAAAGCTGCGCAGTGGAAAGGTCTCATGTACTTCTCGCTAAGGCCGGCCGGATGATGCAAGGCGGAAATGTCAGGTTTAGTGAATGTTTCAGTGGGGTCGTGGAGCAAAATCATCAGATCAGTGTTTTAATAAGATAGTTAACATTAATAATCATTATTCTGAGCCCTGGCTTTTAAAAAGCTAATAGGATATTGTCCTTTGAAAATGGCAAACAGTTAATCAAAAGCATTAGGCACCTAAAGTTAACTGTACAAGGGCCTCATAACTTTCCTTTCATAAAGTGAGCATTCAGTCTGGAAGACATTGTAAAGAGTGAGAGAGGGAACGAAAAGGTCAATATTGTGAATTGTAATTAGCTGATTTGATTTCTGTGCCAAACTCCAGGCTGTACTAAATCCACAGTCCTCGCTGGCAACTCCTCATCTCTGACACATTACCCTTCTTTCAACACTCTGGCGCTTCAGAGTCCTTTAAGACTTTTGCATTAACAATAGCTTTCTAGGTTTGGATTGGTTTTGTTAATGTGTGAGGGTTAGGCTCATCAGCAACGTCTATGTAATATGGTTGGAAAGTGTGCTGTAATCCTTCTTCAATGCTGAAGTTGTCACCCAAGTGGGAGTAATTTAAGAACTAAAGAAGTAATTTCACTGGCAAAGTTTTAAAGTTTTTTTTTAATTGCACTTAAAAAAAACCCTGAAATACCAGAGAATACTGGAGGCATTGTACACGAGGTTGGAAAACAGCCTCTCAAAGATTAGCTACAGATCTTAGCCAGGGTCGTCCAAAAGACTTTAGCTATTCATTTACAAGTTTTTCTATAATTCATCTGTGCTTTGGCCTTCTCTTTTTTTCATGAGGTTGTGGAAGTAGCTGTTAGAGAATTAAATATGCCATGCCACTTCCTTTTGCTTCAGTTCAATAGCACTGAAGTGCCTATCATGTGCCAGGGTAGCTCAGTGGTAAAGAGCCCGCCTGCCAATGCAGGAGATGTGGGTTCGATCCTTGGGTCTGGAAAATCCCCTGGAGGAGGAAATGGCAACCCATTCCAGGATTCTTGCCTGAAGAATCCCATGGACAGAGAAGCCTGGAAATGGAAAGCTACAGTCCATGGACTCACAAAAGAGTTGGCTACAACTTAGTGACTAAACAACAACTATGTACCAGACACTGCCTTAAATGGTATGGGGTTCAAAGATATATAAGGCACTCACTGTCTGGTGGTGGAGTGAAGCCACATGTACAATAAATAATACCAGGTTGCATTCATAAACTGCAATTTGGGAGGTTCAGATACAGGCAGCAGTGCTGGAAGAGGGAAAGGGAGAATTATAATGACCATCTGTGGTGGCCAAGAAGGCTTTATTAAGGAAGTGACATTTGAACTTGGCTTGAAAGGATGGAGTGCTTTCAATAGACGGAAATGAAAACAACTCACATTAGGTGCTCAATTAATGTTTGCTGAAGGGATTAATAAAAGGCACAGATGTGAGATGTGCTTGAGAAATAGCAAGTCCACAAAGCTGTATCTAACCACAGATTCCCCTTATGTGAACAATTCTAATTCAGGTAATCCATGACATATATGAAAGATGTATTTTTCAAAATTGACCCTAAAACGTGTATGTCAAAAGCAGTTTTCCCATACATTTCATAATGGTAATGGAAGAAATTAGGGTGGTTTGGTCAAACTGAAATGACATTATCGTCTAGGTTAGTAGTACTCAAATAGTTAATGAACCCTGGTAGTCCATGAAACCCAAGGATCCACACAGTCAAAATGACTTGCACAACAATACTAAATATTATTTGCCTTTTTCACTGTGCTGATATTTGCACTGATGGTACAGATGCAGTAGTGAGTACAGCTGTCAGTGCCACAGCATGAATCAAGGCAGTGACACCAAATTATACTCGTAATCATTACACTTGAAAGAAAATAAAAGGCACTCCACTTGAGAATATCATTGCTAAAGCAGTAAAAACGATTAAAATATTAAACCTTAACAATTGAGTGTACTTTAAAAAAAATATTCTGTGTTATGACATTTGACTTAGGTGTAAGGTACTTATGCTACGAACTGTGTTGATATGTGTCTCAAGGAAAAGCATCTGTGAGATTATTTAAGCCATGAGCTAAATTAGCCTTTTTTAATGACTGACAAACTATGGTTATGCAGGCTTGAGTATTTGTTAGACATTTTGTTTGAAAGGAACAAAGAGAGCCTGACAGTTAAAGGAAATACTGACTGTGCTGTGGCCAAGGATAAAATTCAAACTTTAAAGAGTAAATTAAAATTTTGGAAAACTTGTATCTATCACCATGACCTTGAGAGCTTCCCAATGCTTCAAGGACTTTTTAAATGAGATTGGAGGTGATGTTAATGAATGTGATTTTTAAAATATCATATAATGAAAGGTGTCAACATTTGGGAGACCTGCAGAGCTCAGTGAACCAATATTTTCCAGATGATCTGTGCATGAGGAGACAAAATGGGTAAAAGGCCCATTCAAAATTCAAAACATACCAATGGATTTTAATGTAACATAACATGAAAAGTTTACTTATATGGTTTCATATTCAACATTGCAAGTAACCTTTCTCACTTGTTGAGTTTTTATGTAGTTTCAATGAAAAATATCCAGAATTATCTTAAAAGGCTACTCTTAATAAAATACTTCTGTCTTTTCCCATTACATACCTGTGAGAGGCTGGATTTTCTGCAAATGTTTCAGCCGAAACAACATATAACAACAGATTGAGGGAGAAGTAATATGATAATCCAGGTATCATATGAAGCTAGATATTAAAGATATTTGCAAAAATGTAAAACTATGCCAGCTTTCCTTCTAATGGTTTTATGTCAGGGGAAAATATATTTCTTTTTCATTAAAAATGCTATTTATGTTAACATGTTATGGGTTTTTTATTTGTTATGTTTAAATTAGCTTTTAAATATTTCTTTTAATTTCTCAGTTGTAATTTCTGAGATGGTAATGTTGATAGATACAACTGTATAATCAAAAGTTCCCTGATATTCCCAATAAGAGTATAAAGAGGTCCTGAAATCTAAATGTTAGAGAACTGCTGGTCTAGCTTATCCCAGCCTTTGTGTCTATATTATACTTTTAGATGTGTAGGATGGGGGAAAGGGTAGAGAAGGAAATGTGTTTAGAGTTTGATGGTGGAGACGGTGCTGGAGTAGAAGATGATAGATAGAGAGGTTGGCTTCACTGATACCATTAGAGGCTGTTGGCCAGGAAAGAACCAGCTTTTTGTTGTGGATTTTTCTTTCTTTGCTTAGAAAGAGAAACAAACCTGCAGAGTCACATTTCTCTATGGTATATAGCTTGTTCCAAGTAGATCATGGTATAACAGCTAAATCACAGGTGGAGAGCAGAAAAGTATATTTTGCAGGGACAGTGAACACAAGACAGTGAAAGCCACAGAAACCAAAATGTGCCTGTGCGTTTCTTTTCTTGGATACCTGTTCTGCAATTCCGAAAGTCTCACTTTCTGCATATCCACATCTTTTGTTGTCCATTATTTAAAATAGGAGGTGGACTGATATGTAGGACTAAACATGGATGGTGGGGCAGAAGCTACAGTAGGAATAGAGGGTATTGGAATACAGCCTTGGAGAGAGATGGTGAGGAAAAATAAAATTGCCCTCAGAAGACCACACTCATGCTGTGAGCTGGGCTTCTGAGTCTGTGGTGAGACTTTTGGGAGGTGGAAGTCACCCTAAAATTAAAAAGGCATTGACTATGTGACTGAAAGGCCAGACACTGCAGAGCATGTATACGATCTACAATAAAGCAGAATGAATTTCAAAGCATCTTATTGAAACTGTAGAAGATGGAGATATTTTTGAAGTTTTTCAAGTGGTCAGGGCATAGTATGAAACAATCAATTATAAGTATTCATCCAAATGTATATAAAATGTCACTGCCATTTTCTTCATGTGGTGGGATGCATTTGCTGCTTTAATTAAGTGAATGTAAATATAGATATAGTGGGCTTTCATAGGCATCTTTTCTGAACTTGGTGTTCTCTCAGCCTATAAATATGCTTCGCCTATCATGGCTTAAGTTCCTCATCAGTGACTTCTCCCGTGGAGGCTTAAGACATGGGAAAGTTCTGATACAATATTCATTCTGGCTACTAATGGTGGAAGTAGAGTGGAAGAGTGAAGAATCCTGTCAAATGCTATGGAAAGGTCCAGAAGTATGCAGCTCTAAAGAGTACAAGCAATGTATGTCTATAAAAGTTTGAAAATGATTTTTAAAACTTTCTGTGTAGCTCTTTTTCACATTTTAAAATGCTTCCCGTTAACAACACACTGTCTTAGACCTACCTGAGAAATATAAAAAGTTGCTGCAATCCTGGTTGTTTTCTTTCAGCTCCTGAGGACCATGTCTGTACCCAAAGGCAGAGTTCTGGATAAAAACCTTGATGAGGAAGGGCTTGAAAGTGGAGACTGTGGCGATGATGAAGATGAGTGCATCGGAGGCTCTGGTGATGGAATGATGAAAGTGAAGAACCAGCTCCGCTTCCTTGCAGGTAAGTGATTAGTGCTGGTTCAAATCTGAGCTAAAATGGTGATGCTTGGGAATTAAATACCAATTGAATCTGCTCTTTATAACTTCACTAAAATCTCTGTAATACACAATGGCAACAAGAAAAGGTGACACTTTAGAAAAATGAAGTTTTCAGGTAGCTTTTTAAAAAAATCTCTGGACCTAAAAGGGTAACTTCCTATTTTTCATTGTCTTAAAATGAACTGACCTGAATCAGTTGGCTTTGTTTCCTACTGGAAATTTCCTTGGTTCTTCTCAGTTATAAAAAGAGATGCAAAAAGAAATGCAATCTTGAGAGCCTAGTGAAAAACCAATGATGGGGTAACTTTCAAAGAAAAGACATTAGGTGACCTTCTCCTCTTAGAATGTCATATTTGGTTTTTTCCACTAGTAGTTTAACACTGGTAGGCTATGCTACATAACTGTACAGCTACATGAAAACAAGTAGAAGAAAAATAGCTGATGCTGCCAAGACGGCAAAACAACCATAACAAAAAATATTTCTTCTCAAGCCACATTTGTATCGATTAGCCCCATGTACAAAATGCTTTCATATGGATAGGCATTCTTGTTTCCATTTATACAGAGAGATAAAGTACTGTATAAATACAAGAAAATTGGGGCTCAGAGAAGAAATGAGATTCATCTAAATGAAAGAGCTAGAAATCCAACTTGAGTCTTAAGACTTCTGGTGTCCGTTCTTCCTTCTGCAATGCACAGCCTTCTTGAAATCCTATTGCCCGTGACTTCTGAGACCCTACAAGCTCCTCTTTCTGTTTCAGTCTCTTTCCTTCCCTGTTTCTTTCTAATGCTGTCCTGAAACTGAGTCTCTTCTTAAGCTTCTATGTTTTCTCACTTCTCCAGAGAAAATATGTATCTTATTTACTTTGGATATTTCATTTTTTTTAATGATTTTTGTAAGTTCTTTTTTTTTTAATTCTGGCAAAAAAAATCTAACATGAAATCTACCCTCTTAACAAACTTTTTCAAATATTTTTTTTGACTGTACCAAGTCTTTAATTGCAGCACACAAGAATTTTGATCTTCATTGTGGCGTGTAGGATCTTTAGTTGTAGCATGTGAACCCTTGGTTGTGGGATATAGGATCTAGTTCCCTGGGCACAGAGTCTTAGCCACTGTACCACCAGGGAAGTCCCTCATAACAAGCATTTCAGGGTACAGTATTGTTATTAATAATAATATGCAGATGTACGGCAGATCTCTAGACTTCTTCATTCGTATGACTGAAAATCTGTCCCCATTAAACACTAACTTCCCTTTCCCCCTCCCTCAGTCCCTGGCACCACCATTTGACTTTCTGCATCTAGTTTGGCTACTTAGCTCCCTCATAGAAGTGGAATCACGTAGCCTGCTATGACTGGCTTATTTCACTCAGCATGATGTCCTCAAGTTTCATCCACATTGTAGTGTATGACTACAGAATTTCCCTCTTTTTAAGGCTAAATAATGTTCCACTGTATGCCTGTCCTGTGATTACTTTATTCCTTTAGCCATCAGTGGACATTTAGCTTGTTTCTACCTCTTGGCTGTTGTGGTTAATGCTGCAGTGAACATTTTTTAAGTATTATACCACTGTGGGGAAAACTCATAAAATCATTACCTCCAGTCTTCACTGGTCTCCTGAGTTACCTTGCCAGATCTCCAGCTGCTTACTAGCTTTCTTCTTCCTGACTTTCTCACCATTACCCCTAACTCTATGTATCATAAATCAAACTTAACAATAGACCATCTCAAACTGGTTCCTCCCTTAATATCATTATTTTTCTAATGCCACTACCATTATCCCAGTCACTGAGGCTTAAAACTGAAGTCATCTTTGACTCGTCTCCCTTGCCTTTCATATACGGTTGGGCACCAAATCTCTGTAGATGATTTATCATTTTTTTCTGCTTCTCTCACTGTTTCCTTTCTATCCTCCTTTCCTCACATCCCCTACCTGTGCATATGCTAAGATCACATCGTAAGTGGTCTCCAGGCTTCTAGGCTAAGCCAGGAGTATTGAGAGCCTTAGGCTAACAGATTAGAGAACAAAGAATCAGAGACCCAGGCAGAAGATTCTACCAAATTCACCTTGTATAGCTGCCAGGTTAATCTTTCTAAAGCATCTCCTACCTCTTCCTAGCTCAGCTACCTTGATCCTGTCCCCGTTGCCTGGAAGACTATGCTCAGACTCCTTAGCAGAGTTCTGAGGGCTTTCTGGTCTAGCCTAAAGCATCCTTCCAGTGTCATTTCCCACCACTAGCCACATAGCAACCCTACACTTCGGAAAGAACAAACCATACTCATCCCCCAGGAGGATGAATTGACATACTGTTCTTATTTCTGTCTTCAAATGTTCCCCACCTTTATTTCTATGTACATACCCTTTTATTTTCTATTGAATTACACCCACCCATCTCTAAAAGTGAATTTCAAGTATTATGCAGTGAAAATATTTTTAGGGGTCGAGTAAACTTGTATTTGAATTCTGGCTCTATTCCTTATGAGCTAGCAGGACCTGGGTCAGTTCTTAGCCTCCTAGCTAAATCTGCATTCTCTTATCCATCAAAAGGGGATCCATTTGATCCATCCATCATTAAGCAACTAGTTCAGGATCAAATCAAGGGAAGAAGTTTGTGAGGCATCTGTCCCAGTATCTGCAACACACTAGGTGCTCCATAATTGTTCGTTTCCTTCAATGAAATCTTTCACAACCGTCTCATTGTATACTTATCTCTGCCCTCTGAATTATTAAAACAAATTCTGCCAATGCTTTCAAGAAATAGTTTGCACTGGCTCCCAAGTTCCATTCCTAAGGCATAACATGGTCACTCAGAGTCTGGCATCCTACAGAAAGAATGTTGAAGAGAACAGCATTGAAACATGTATATTATCTAGGGTGAAACAGATCACCAGCCCAGGTTGGGTGCATGAGACAAGTGCTCGGGCCTGGTGCACTGGGAAGACCCAGAGGGATCGGGTGGAGAGGGAGGTGGGAGGGGGGACCGGGATGGGGAATACATGTAAATCCATGGCTAATTCATTTCAATGTATGACAAAAACTACTGTAATGATGTAAAGTAATTAGCCTCCAACTAATAAAAATAAATGGAAAAAAAAAAAGAAAGAATGTTGAGTAAACATAATAAGTAAAACTCATAGAAGGTTTTGTTTATTTGACACTTACCATGCTGCAAGTGCTGTGCCAGAAATCCACACATGTTGCCTCATGTCATTTTCACAACACCACTATTATTATTCCCACTTTACAGATGAGAAAACTGATGCTGGAAGAGGTAGAGTAATTTGCTTAAGGTCATGCAGTGGCTAAGGTCAGAGTCAGGATTCAGAGTCAGGCTGTCAGCTTTCAGAGGCCATTTATTGGGCAAATCTGCTTTGCATTTTGCTCCCCCTGAAAAGCTTTTGGTCAGCTAAAGGTTGCTTAGATGACTCAGCAAACTAGTAACTGGTCCCCACGCTGATCCTTAATACACACCACCGTTCGTGTTTCTGCAAAAGTCCCTGTTTATCCCTCCTCCTGCTCTCCTGCCTATAAGCCACTTCCCTATCCATTTCAAAGTGCAATTCCACGATTCCATGGTGACTTAACTTTTTTAAAGAGTGTTTGGTGTGGGACCTTGTCAAGGGCCTTTTAAAAATATAAATAGATTACATCTACTGGTTTCCCTTTGTCCAAATGCACATTTATCCTCTCAAAGAATTCTAGTCAATTAGTTAGGCATGATTAACCCTAAGTGCTTTGTCAACTGTAAAATGCTACACAAATGGTGGTTAATTTAATTTACAGGAAAAATGATGCTTTACTCCCAATAGGGTACACTTGCCTAACATATTCAGTGATCCTACCTGCCTGGAGTTCCTTGGGTCCCCTTTGAAATGCTTCTCATGAAGAGGAGACTCATTGGCAGTCTGCCAGGCTCGTGGCACAATAGCTATTTGGAACAACAAGCTATACACTTTGGTCAGCTGTTACACAATTTTACCCAAAATCTGGGTAGATGCCATCTGATCCTGGTGATTCATCAACATCCACTTAGTCAACTAGACTTGGAACACTGTGTGCATTTACCTCTATCTCATTTAGAGCTTCCAAATTCCTTCCTCCACAAGACAACTTGAAAATAAAAAACAAGGCTCAGAGTATGTTCAGACTCTCTTCTCTCTCCCTTTTGTCCCCGAACAGCTCTTTTGCACTCTAGCCAGCAAGCAGTCCTACTGGCTGCTTTCCCTGGCTCACTTATTCCCATCTTTTGATGCACTGGAGGAAGTGCAGGACACTGAGCTTCTATTCTTGGCTTTGCTTCTAACTCCCATGCGTCCCGGGGCAAGCCCCTTCCTCTTTTGAGAAGTCAGTTTCTCCATTTGTAAAATGAAGAGAATGCCCAGACATCTCTCGCTGGCCATGCTAGTGCCAACAGTCTGTGATGCTGTTCGTATATTTGGCTTTAGTCCCTGGCAACATGCTTACTAGAGTCTTTCAGGGACACCTTCTTCTGACCATGCATATTCCTTGTGTTCTATTCTTCTCCTGAGCTATTTACACATTGAAGCAGATCTTGTTTTCTCTACACTAGCTCCCTTGGCTTTTCCAGTCAGACAAGCCAGGCTTCTTACCAAGGGCTGCCCACACCTGGCCCCTCGGCACACTTGTAGGCCAGGATGCTCATAAGAAGTTCTGAGCAGTATCCAGGCCTTCTGTGGTATATTCACTTTTAAAAGTCTTCATCCTAAAGTTTCCCAAGTGTTCTCTTTTTTTCTATAATTCTTCTTTCTGAATTTGGAGTCTGACCCTTCTTTCCGCTTGTTGAATTTAATTGCTGCTGAGATGACCACTAAACAGTGTCTTCTTACCCACAGTTGCAGCTGACTTATTCCTTTCACTTCTCAAAACAAGGCTAATATGTTTTCCTTTTGGAGGGTTACCTCCTTTCTCAGCCTGTTTCATAGTGTTGTGGCTGTTAA